TTAAAAAAATGTTTCCTGAGTTTTCTGACTGGTCTTACTGGTCTATATTATTGAGCACCTACTTTCAGATATGTGTGTATGTATACATTTATATGTATACACACACATCCTGTATTAAAACAGTTGATATATAGCATCAGGCTTTCCTACCTATTTTAAGCATTTCCACATACCGGTAGTCTTAAAAATATGTAATTTGGGGGGCCGGACAAGTGGTTCAGTTGGTTAAGAGCTGGCTTAAGAGCGCGAGCTCTGAGCAGCAGGACCGTCGGTTCGATTCCCGCATGGGCCAATGACGCTGCGCCTGAGCTGAGCTGTCACTGAGCTGCCAATAGGTGGCAGGATGGCTCAGCTGGTGAGAGCACATGCTCCTAACAACAAGATCGCCTGTTTGATAGTGGGCTACACCCACCGGCAACTAAAACTGAATTTGGCACCTTGAGCTGAGTGTCGCCCAGATGGCTCAGTGGATAGAGCGTGCGCTCTTAACAACAAGGCTGCTGGTTCAACTCCCGCATGGGACGGTGGCTATACCCACCCGCAACTAAGAATGAACACAGCACCTTGAGCTTAGAGGCCATAAGCAGGCGATGGGAAGCCAGATGGCAACTGGAGCCCTCCACAACAAAGACTGAAGAACAACTTGGCTGGTCCCCTTTCCCAATTCTCCAATAAAATCTTTAAAAAAAATACATATATATATAATATATACATATTATATATACATACATATATGTATGTATATATATATGTATATGTGTGTATATATATGTGTGTGTGTGTGTGTGTGTGTATATATATATATATATATATATATAATTTTTATTGACTTCAAACTGGTCCATTAGAGGGGTGTGCCATGATTTATTTAACTATTTCCCTACCGTTGGACATTTAGGTTGTAACCAATTTATCACTTATCATAGAATCTTAATAATTGGACAGGACCTAGGATGTAATTTAATTCAATATTTCCCCCAAATGAAGGCACTTTTCCTATCCTTATCAAATAATCGGCTAGTCTTCACTTGAATAATTCCAGAAGTAGAAACCCCCACTTTGGAGGTTCAGTAAATAACATCATAGGGACATTTAATTTAAATGATTTCAGCTGTAGGCACTTGGCCACCAAAATTAAAATAAGAAAACCAAAAAAAAGAAAAAAAGAAGAGGGTATTTAAATCGAGCACATAATTCTGCCCTGATTGGCTCCACTGGGTGGGTCTGAACCCCGGAGTGAGCTGGGCTGGGCAACAGAAACTGGCCTTTTCAATGACTTCAACTCATACATGCCTCCCAGGGTGCCAGACTGCCTGGGTCCAAATTCCAACTCCAACATTTACTAACTGTGAGACTGTGACCTTGATCCAGTTATTTAAAAAACAAACACACACACACGTGTGTCTGTTTCTTCAAGTGTAAAACAGGGATAGTAATGGTACCAATGTTACAGAATTGCTGGGATGATCCAAAACGTAAGTATCGGTAAAATCTTTATCCATACAGTAAGGGCTAGATAAGTTTAATCTATTTTTTTAAAGATTTTATTGGGGGTTTGGGGGAGGGGAATAGCACTGGGGAATCGGGGAGAGGAATAGACAAATTGCTGTCCTTTGGTTCTTCAATCTAGTTGTGGAGGACGTCCCTTCACTGGCCCATGTTGGTATTGTGATCGTTGCGCTCTTCCCAGCTGAGGCAGATTGGTCGCCGGCCATTGGACAGCCGCTCATGCCAGCTGCCAGCCACTCACGGTAGCTTATGGCAGCCCACTGCAGCCTACATTGTCGGTGGCGACTCAACAGCAGCCCAGCTCCAAGTCAAGCTGTTGTTCACCATCTTAGCTGTAGAGAGCGCAGCATCATTGGCCCATGTGGGATCCGAACCGGTGGCCCTGATGCTCAGAGCTCGCACTCCCAAGCCAACTCCTAACCAATGAGCCACTGGGCCGGCCCAAGTTTAAACTGTCCTTATCTTATAAAACTTGGCTCCTAAACATAAGCCAGCTATTTCATCTGGTGTATAGCCAAAGAAACAACAATCCATTCCAAAAATGGAGAAAAAATGGACTGAGGTGAACTTCACTGACAGATAGTGTATTAGTCCTAAGGAGTTTTCCAAAGGTAATTTTGATTGTTATACAGTAACTTTGGAACTAACCCACTTACCACCATCTCCAACACACACCACCACATCCCTGCTGGGTGCTTACACCCCTAGGTCTGCTTTTATACTGAGCCAAATCTGACTTAACTGCAGTGCCTTCCCCAGTTATACAGAACGCTGCCAATCCACCTTCCACAGGACAGTCTGACAGCTTCAAAGACAATGACTACAGCCCTGCCACAGGCCCAACAGCCGTAAGCCTCATCCAGACCTCACACGTCGATGCCAGCCCAGTCAGCTGTTCACCTTCCTCTCAACGCTCTTGGTTTGTCAGTGTCCCTCTTCCAAGGTGAAAGTTCAGTACCTGACACAATATCCCCACTGTCCTCTGACCAGCTCATAGTGCTCTGGAATCAATACCTTCCTAGACCTGGACACCATCAGTTGTCCAGGTATCAATCCAGGCAAGACTTAACCTCGCATAAGCTGCATAAATTACTTAAGAAATGACACCCACGCCCTACGCCCTTCACAGCAGCACCTTTGCAGCATAACGAAGTTGTCTCTAATCACTCTTTCTAAGGTCTGGGCCGTTCATTAGCAGAGGCTCAAGAGCCACTCAGTATTAACAATTGTTTCCTTTTCTCATCCATTACTTAATAATAACCCTTTATGTTTGCACACCAATTTCTAATTCCACAGCAAATACTTCTGATATTTGAGTGTAAGGCATAGCGAGAGTTACAATTCCCAATTTACAAGTGAAGAAACGGAGGCTCTGACAGCTTAAGTGAATTGCTGGGATTACATTACCCGTAAATGGCAAAGTCAGAATGAGAACCGGAGTCCTCTGTTTCCCAACCTAGAGAATGTCCTACCACACCACCTGTCTCATCTTTATCTGTGGACAGTGAGAGAACATGTGAGGTCAGAGGAACTCAGGTTCAAATCCCTCTGTTCAACTCTGCTGCTTGCTGGTTGCGTGACCTTGAGCAGCTGCTGAATCTTCCTGAGGTTCCTTTTCCTCCTTCTGAAAACAGGAGTGCTCTCCTTCTCACAGAGCAGCTGTGAGAACATAAGTGCAAGAACGAGCCAGGATCGCGGCAACCAGCGTCTGTTGGCCTCCCACCTTTTTCTGGGTTTCTACCATGCCTGCGGCACTAGACTGAGGTGGCATGGAAAACCAAACAAGACTTTAGGGAGTACTAAATAATTTTAAAGTATACGAATATATTTTAAATATGATAGTCATTTACTCTCAACTATGAGGTTTTAGTAGATAGTACATAGATATAAATATGCACTGAAAAAGAACTAGTTTATATCAGGTGTAAACTCATCATAAAGGAATTTTCTGTTGGAATTGCTTATGTGGTGAGGTATAAGGTCATGATGAGTGAAAACATAATTAAAATTTGGAGGTGCAGCAAAGTGATGGAAACTGACATTTATTTTAAAAGGTAATTAGTCTATAAAAAATGATAATGATCTTCAAGGTCTCCTCTCGGCCTTCTATTCAATGACTATCTTCACTTTTCATTGCCTGTAAGCTGTTTAGGAACAGATTGTATATTATTGTTCTTTATGTTCCCAACAGTGTCTTATAAAGTACTAAGTGCCTACAGAGTTTAATAAGTATGCAAATATTTTTGATTGGCAGATTAGAGGAAAAAAGCTTAAATTCATTACTGAAACAAATACCATCACCTGTTTTTATGATTACTTGGTGATGTATGCTGGAAACATTTTGAAAAAGTCACTACCATTTAATGTCATTTGTTAAATGGTATACATGGGCAGTGGATAAATGAAAGGCTTTCAAAACTTTTTAAAACTACGTATAGAATAGATCAACTGTTGTCCGGATAGTTTGTCACAATTATTTCAAGGTATTTTTAGATTCAGTCATTCAACAAATATTTACAGAACACCTATTATGCCAGGCTGTGCCAAGCACCCTGGGTAAATACGATTAATCTGACCTGGACTGTGCTTTCAAGTTTAAATTTTCATGTTAGAATGTGAGATAAGACATATGCCTAAACAACTTGGCAATGGATAAATACCCAACAGAATCGATCAAGGGGAGGAGGGGCAGACAGGCAGAGACAGTGCAGGAGAAAGAAGTTACTTCCCACCAGTGAAAACCAGGGACAGACATCAGGGATACCTTGCTATATCTCCTCGGTAGAGCGACTTATACTCCCAGTTTGCAGGATCCGGCTTCTTATCTGTTCTGAAGGTTTCTCCGGTCAGAGTCTGAATGTCTTCAAGCCAAACAAAGCAACGTCCAATATCAGCAGCAGCAGTGGCAGCATTTTCTTGACTGTGGGACAAAGGAACGCAAAGAACAAAAAGGGAGAGGCACTTAGAAACCTTCCAGTTACATAGTTCACATTTTCAGAAACACCGACGTTAAACATTTCCAACTCCACACAGCATCATTTTGCAGAGGACCCCTGCTCCCAAAAAAAGTGTTAAAATATAAAGCAAAAAGTGTCGACACTATGCAGCACATTACCAAAAAACAAAGTCACCTCAGAAAGTAACCTGAGGGATACAGGTGTTCTTTTTAAATATTTCATTTAAATAATTGTAATTTGAATTTCAAATAAATTCACAACCTTTTTTCTCAAAAAACAAAAAAAGTGGGTTGCCCTTACTTCACCTTATTTGAAAGTGCTCAGATTATTTATTCCAACTTAACAACAACAACAAAAACCACGGTTCTAAATGGTTCAGTCTCAGATGTTACTTAGGATTGGCCTGTACATAGATGTTACTTACCTAGTCTGGGCTCTGTGGACAGTATTTGGCCTATATCTACCAACCTCCTACACAAAGGGCAGAAAGCCCCTGTAAGACAAGACTCTTATTTATCCAGATACAAATGGAACCCCTCTCCTCGGAGTCAAGTGAGAGGCAGGGAAGGATTTTCTGGACTTAAACATCTTTCCTCCTCTACAGAAAATCAGTTTATAATGCTGCTGGCACAAGAGGCCGCCCAAGTGGTCAAAGCAGCCATTAACTGTGGTTCCATCTTTGCTTTTCAGCTCTGCCCAAATACAAATAAAGATTCAGGAGGCGTCTAAATCATTCTTGGCTGGGAATACAAGGGAATGGTATTTCAGGGACACAAAGTAGCTACTCAATAAATATTTGTTGACTGACACAACTCCAGTTAAAATACATGGTGATTTTAACACATCCCCCTTCAGAACAACTGTGGAAGGGTATCTGCCAACGAAAGGGGCAGTGAAGGGAGGGAAAGACTGATGCATTCCAGAATGAAATGAGAAGCCAACTGGGGGTAAAAAAAAAAAAAAAAAAAAGGGGAGCCAGCTGCAGACCCCCCCTGAGGAGCAAACATACCCCTCCCTCTACCCCTCTCCCACTGGGTACTGAGGTCAGGAAGCAGGATGTGGTCTGGGCTGTGTGCAAGGAGGGAGCTGCCTCCACCTGAAGATGAAGAGAGGTCATCCTAGGAGATGAAGGTCAATTAGAAGCAGTAGCCTCTGGGGACGTCGTCCCTCGATCGCCCTGAAATAGAGTCCCATATGGTGTATCACCCCCCCATGAGCCCACTTTCCTGATATCGTGGAAAGATTCAACAACTCACTAATATCTTAGTCCTGGTCAACATGGAAACAAACAATTCTTCCAGGCCTCTTCCCAGGAAGAGACTACAGAAGTTAATACTAAGAAAGTACAAGAGAAAGACAACAACATTCTATCTTGATCTTACTGGAGATATTCTGCAAAATATCAACCAACTTAAAAATGCTATCTGGATCATAAAACCATCAGGAGGCTGCAAAGATCACCTCTGACGTAGTTAAGCCAGGCTGAAAATAACTATCTTTCAAATTCTAATGGTGGTTTCTATGTGGGTTCAGGAAATCCTTTAAAGCTTATTTTCCTCAGCTATAAAAAAGGCCAAGTAGCTAATGGTGAGTTTTCAGAAGATATAACGATTAATGTATTTTTCTTTGAAGACATACAAAAAAGCAACAATATCAATAATCTCCATTCATTCATTCATTCATTTATTCACATGACAAAAATGTATTCTGTGTATGTTACTATGTATCCGGCCCTGTGCCAAGGCTGGGGGTACAATGAATGGTAAGCGAGGTGGGCGTGGTTCCTGCCAACATAAATTCCGTCAAATTCAGAATCTTTTTGCTCCCCGCTTTATTTTATCCTCCTAGAACATGTCTGGGTCACCGGTATAGCGCCTGAGACACACAGAGGGCTAAACCTGTATCCTTTGAGCCACAGGCCTGCAGGGCTCTCCCAACTAGTCAGACACAGGAGAAACCTGCGAGACTGCAGAGTCTGCCTCCCTGATGGACCCTCCAGGGGTCCAATTCCAGACTTCCTCCAACGCAGAGCTCTCACTGATATCAGTGGGACTTCTAAGCACACAACAAAAGCACACAACCCCTGAAGAGCCCCCCAAATCTTAATAGCACGAAGTTTCTTTAAGTATGTCTTGGACAGGTACTTGAATTCTCTCTCTTCTAGACTGTATGAACAACAACAACAAAAAGTTAAAAGAGGAATAATTCAAGGGGTTTCACCGTATGCCGACTGTCCCATGCCAGGGCGGAGTGCCTCCCTCCTTATGGAGGAGGTCAGGCTGAGCAGAGGAAGTGCTATCACAGTAACTGTAGTGATGTGAATGTGCTCCAGGTGGAGAGCAGCATGCCCCATGGAGAGAAATAACACCCCAAGGGAAGGATGTGGCCCTGAGCTAGGCTATACCTTCAGCACAGCAGTTCCAACAAAGGTGAAACAGGGATATAAACGATGACTGTTTTAGGTGCTATGTGAGCCTTAACCAGAGTGGGGAGGGGCCAGGAGGGGGGAATGTGAGTGACCGAAAGGGAGGTACATCAACGAGAGAAGACATTTCTCTTACTCTGTGTTAAGTGTGGAGGCCAACAGCCCCTCACAGATGGAACTGTGTAGTGAACTAGCCCACAGACCCACGTGTGGCACGCTTGCCATCTGTCAAAAATCCCAAAGACTTTTTGTCTAAATCAGATTCTGACACAATCATTTCTAATTGATTAAATTAAAATTTAATCAATTTGTGCCTAATTAAAATTTCTTGAATTATATCAATGGCCCTAATCTTTTTAATGCAAGTTTTTCTCTTCTTTTCTTTATTTTTAATTGGGGAACAGTGTGTTTTTCCAGGACCCATCAGCTCCAAGTCAAGTAGTTATTTCAATCTAGTTGTGGAGGGTGCATCTCAGTTGCCCATGCAGGGATCGAACTGGCAAACTTGGTGTTATGAGCACTGTGCTCTAACCAACTGAGCTAGCTGGCTGCCCCTTCTTTCTCTTTATGTTGACCTAATGGTAGAACTCTATTTTCCCCCCCAGCTTTATTGAGATATTTATTGACTCCATTTTGATTGAGTGGAATTAAATAATGAGTTAAATAATCATTTAAATGTCAACCCTAGTCATCGAGGGAGAAAAAGTACAGATTGAAAATGTCATAGGTATTAGAGAACAGAAAACCTACTTCGCTTTCTCTGATTCTTTTTTACTGTCTCTACTCCTGGAAGACTGGTCCTTTTCAGAATCAGTATCGGGCTCAGACCCACTGCTACTGGTCTGCCCATGTTTCTTCTTGGTTTTCTTTTGGTGTTGATGCTTCCTTTTCTTCTTTTTCTCTTTCTTCTTTTTTCTGCTTGTTTGTTTGAGGTTTTTCTTAGTGTCACTGTCATCTGAAGGCTCTGATTTCGGAGGACTCCTGTTTGGGAAAATCAACATTAGAATTTTCAGAAGAGAATTAGGGAAAATAACATGCAAATGAATAATCAAATAAACAAATATGTAAAAGGGAATTCTAACAATGCTCACACACACTGTTTGCCCATATATTATACAGTATCTGTCTGGATTACAATTCACCTGAAAGATGTTAAGAGTTAGATCTAAAATAAAACCAGGTGAAGAAATTCTAATTTTAATAGCTTCTACACCTGTGCTTTCATATTTATATACTTTAAAATGAAAGTAATCTATCAGTTATTTTATCAACTATAGTGTATTTAAAAGCAATGTTATAAGGTTTATTTTCAGTCCTACGTATGACACCAGCATGTCCTCAATGCCAAAAAAATCCCACAAACAAGCAAACAAACAAACAAGCTTTAATTCTGGTCCTTGCTTTTAAAGGTTACAGTGAGTTCTTCCTCATTACTGAAATATCTACGAACAACTCCCTCTCATGCATCAACCATTCTCAATATCCGAAGGCTTCTTACGCTTTTAGAGTACATGGCTTCCTGGGGTTCATCATATTAATGAGACCATCTAGTCTATATTTGCGAGAGAGTTCATTTGTCAGTTCAACGATCTAGAACCAAGTTCTTTCAAAGCTGGGTAGAGATGTGCGCCATTTTGCTTCCTGCAAAGTTTTCACAAGATTTTATCCTGTTACTGTGGGGGTCCAGAAGGAGCCACCCCAAGATGTGTCTCCGTGGTATGCTGATTACTTTGAGCTAAAGGCAATTTTAGCTTCAGGCTCAAGAGAAGTTTCTGCTCCCTCCCCACACCACCCACCAAGAAGAATGTGAATTAGGGCCTTGCTCATAAGAGGTTCAGAGATCATTTCTTTGAGCTACCTATAGGACAGGGCAAACGTCCATGTAATAAAGGTCTGCTCCTTTTATCGTCCTACAATGACCTTTTGATGCCCCCAAGGTGCATTACCTCATTCCTAGCTCAGGATGTCTTATCTCCTACAATTCCCCTTTCTAGCTCTGAACCTCCCATGTATACGGGGTCTCTGACTCCCTCATGCATGTGGGGTTCCCGTGCGCACAACATTAAACTTGATTTTCTCTTGTCAATCTGCTTCCTGCTGATTTGATTACTCAGCCAGCCAGGAAGAACCAAAGGAGGAAAATGGGAATTTTCCCCCTTCCCCACACTATATTATACAAACACCTGCTATTTTTACGAAAGTGTTGAAAGTACAACTAAAGAAATATCTGAATTCGATATTTATCGGTAGTCTCAAGGTTACTAATGAGGTTAGTAAAGTTACTTAAGAATCACAATGATGCCACCTCCCTCGTGGCCTAATTATTGGCAGTGCCTGTGTCACGTCATTGCCACTGCAATGCAATGGGGGGGGAAAGGAATAATCTCTAACAGTGAGGTAAGGGAAAATAGTCAAAGATCACCTCAATCAATACTTTAAGAAAGAGTTTTACTTAGCTCTTTTATCAGAGGGTTTTCTAAGGAGCATCATTCAAGCTAAGCTATAGACGGTACACTGACAAAGACTGAACACCCATTTCTCAGAAACACCACCTTGTCACTGGGGACGCCTCAGGAACAAGAGCTGTGGCCCCTTCGGTTTGCTGGCTCAGAGACGTTACGGTTCCAGCAGAAAAGCTTGGGTTGCTCAGCCAGTCTAATTCTGCACGTGCAAAAGAGAAAAAAGATCAATGAAATTAGCTCAATATGATTTCTAGAGCAGGAAATCCATCTTACCAGCTGACATCCTAATTCACAGCCCATGTCAGCCAGACATTTAGAAGAGTCCACAGAAGCCAAAGGGGATCCATGAATTTTTATTCACAGGGCATGGGGCTTTACACACTCTAAAATACTTAAGGCTGAAATCCTCTTGTGATATCAGGCTGCAGCTTAAGCAAAAGCCATATAACAAGTGTGGCCTCAAAGTCAACAAGGCCTTATGCATTCCATCCACACGCTATGAGCATGAAGGCTTCCTAAGCATGAGGTTTTAATGACCTCAAACTTGATTTACACAATTCCAAAAGGTTAAAAAAATCAAATCATGCATAAAAGCCCACCATGCTTAATGTTATTACAGCAGATTAAGGTATTTTTCTTTAAAAGAATATTGCAATGTTCTGTCTTAGTACAGCAACTTAACATAAAGCTTTCCTTATAACAAACAGTACTCGTCTTTGAAAATATAAACACAAGGTGTCAACTTTTCTGATTAATGCTAAAATTATATAAGATGTCAACAATGATTATCTCTGGGTGGTGAGATTAAATATCTGAATTTTTTTCCTGCTTATCCATTAATTTCTAACTCTTCTACAATAAAC